GGCAGCAGCTGTCCAAGAACCAGGTGTCTTTCTTGGATGGTTCGCTCTAGGCGATGGTTGCGTATGTCGGGTTCGGCTCCAGTGACTCACGGCGAGGGGTGCTTTCATCGAGTTGTTCTTCCGGTGAGCAGTACGGTGGTGATTCGGTGGTGCAGAAGTTTGTCAATCTCGCCATGCAGCTCACGATGTTTCTTGTTCCTTGTGCAGGTTGCGTTGTCGACGTTGTTGAAGTTTGAGCATGAGGAATGGGATGCGCTTGTGTTGAGGCGACTTGGCTGCTTGAAGGCTGAAGTTATCGTTGCGGTGGTGTTGACTGCTGTCGATTTGGGCAGTGTGTATGAGGGTGTCCTGACGTCTTGCAGAGATGACAGAACGGCGATACGTACTGTTGGTGTTGTTGTTTATTCTGCTGGTTGGAGTTGTTGAAGCGCCGTTGGGTGTGGAATGCGAATTCGGGTACTGACGTTTTCCTCTTGTGCCGCTCCTCGTGCAGGTCCATGTCTTGTTGTTCGGCGTGTATTTCGGCGCAGAGTGCCGCTTCGGAGATCTTCCCGTGAGCTGGGAGTATGGCTCGAGTGGAGCGCCAATGAGGACCAAGGCTGGAGATGACGACTGTGACGAAGGCTTCTTCAGATATCGATCCTCTGCATCGAAGGAGTTTGTCGCGCAATTCGCGACAACGGCTGATATACGCCATCCCTTTTTCGCCGTGTTTCATTTCCGCTGTTGTTAGCTGTACCATTAACCGACTCTGATTGACGCTGTCCGTTGCTTGATACAGGTTCTTCAAATGGTTATACACGAGCTCGGCGGAGTTGTCGTATCCCCGATAAGACCGGATGTTCTGCTGCTGATTTGGAGTTATGTTCCTCAGCAGGATCGTGTATGCCATCATCGACTGATACGTGTACTGTTGCTTGTCGTATTGCCTTCTGTGTGTTGGGTATGGTAGGGACCCGTCGAAGAATCCAAGAATCTGCGCACCTTCCATCATCAGTTCAAACTCGAATGACCAGGTATAAAAATCTTTGTCGTCGAAAGGCGTCGATGTCTGTAGTTTCAAGAGGTGCGCGAACTGCGATTGAACTTGACGTGCATCCAGTGTCTTCTCTTGTCCAGGTTGAGGCTGCTGGTGCGGCATGAAGCTGACTGAGCCATGTTGAGGCTCATACGGGGCGAAGGTGGGTTGCTACTGATTTCTGTGCGCATAGGATGAACCATCAAGACTCATGGGTGTAACAATCGTTGTTGTTGTTGCTGATGTTTGACTGCATAGGTGCCATTTGCTGATGCTGTTCATGAAGGAAAAAAAATTCTCCATCATGCTTGGGTCGAAGCATGTCGCTTGGTTTGCGGGAGTCTCAGTAGACTCAACTGCTGGTCTTGTTGCTGTACCTCCCTCTGTCTGCAGGTCGGAGGCTAGAGGTGGAGTAGGAGTAGTACCAGGAGAGCCGTTGGAGGAGCTTCTCTCTTTCTGCGTTGCCATGCTTTCTGATGTTGTAGAGGATTTGAATGTAGTTGAACTTGCCTTGACTGCTCTCATACCATGCTGGGCTGAGGATCTTTTCAAGGCTTAACTCTGAGCAGAAGTTTTGTAGTTGCGGAAGCGTTTTAATAACAAGTGTTGAACCACCTTGCGCTAGTATGTGAGGGCAAGATTGATTATAGAAAAGGAATACAAGCTTCTATAAGATTAAAAGGAATATGAAAGGGTGCAGCTAATAACTATTTTACTGTTGCTGTTTGGGTTCGATACAGTGACGACTCCGGCAACTGCTCAGTATCGAGTCAGTTGTTTGTCCTTGCTGTCGCGCAGTATTTGTCAAGTCCAAGGTCGCTGACCTTTGACCTTCGCGTAACCTCTAGCAGTTTGTCAACCTCCGATGGTTGACTCGCCGTTGCTTCGTTGCTATTTGCTTCGTTTACAGTTCGATGTTCCGACACATCAGAAGCGTTAAGTTACTTGTTTCCAACATTCTTGCAGCGGGCCGGCACGGCCAGGCCAACGGTGCATGGTTTGGTGAATAGTGCGCGTGAATGTTGGCGAAGCCCCGTTAGCAATAACGGGCGAACAACGGCTGGTCTTGTATGCGGTGTTGAAGCACGCGGTAAGGAACGCCGAAAAATTCCTTACACTACCCCTCCCCCCTCCCCCCTCAAGAAGCCCCCTTCGCTACGCGAGTGCATGTAGATCGCAAAAACCCCGGCTCCTCAGGTACACTTGCAGGGCAGGGTGATTCTCAATGTTGACCACGGGCGCCCAGCTATCTTAGGTTGGGGTACCCGTCCTTGCAGCGAACGAGGAACTCGATCCTCTTGATGCCTGTGGGGTGACAAATCCGATGGCTCATAATCTTCGCGGGCTCGACGATCGGCTCCGATGTAGGGCGATGTTGAAGTAGGGGAAGGCTAGGAACTTAGGGTTTTGGCTTGGGAGACTAGCGTGGAGATTTGGCAAGGAGGAAGAGGTCGACTAGAATGGAGGAGATATAAGTTATAGGCAAGGCAAGGCAAGAACAAGAGAATGTAACACTACACTAACAATTGCTACAAGGAGTTTATACGTAAAATGTAACTAAACCGGCGAGTCATGGACGGTGGGCGATGGTGTGGCAGTTGGCTTGTGGTTCGGATGTACGGGCGAAGCAGGCTGACTTGGAATGATGGGCTGATATACCAGTCTATCGGCAACAATATATGGGCGGTAACTAGGGTGATCATGTGGCTAATTTGGAACGGTCCATAGTAGCGCGGTCGAAGTTTAGGTATGACAGGCACTCTTAAGTTCTGAGTGTCGAGCAGTATGTAGTTCCCTGGCAGGTACATGACTCTGCGGCGGTGGCTAGCAGCGTCTCGTTTTGCAATGATGTTGGCCTTTTTAATTGCGTCTGCTGCTCTCGTTCGGGCAGCTTGCAGAATCTTGGCAAACAGATTAGCGCGTGGTGTTGGGTTGTTCATACTCGGCGTCATGGGCACTGTTCAATTTTGCCCATAGTTCAGGTATAATGGGGACAGTTGCATCGTCGCTAACATGACGTTGTTGTATGCACACTCGATCAGTGGCAGATGATGCTCCCATGTTGTCGGATCGTCGCACGAATCAGTTGCTCCATAGTCTGGTTCGTCCGCTCCGTCTGGCCGTCGGTCTCGGGGTTGTACGACGAACTGAACTGTAGTCGGGTTCCGAACTGCTCCCAAAAGTTCTTCCACAAGTTGCTGGAGAACTTCGTGTCGCGGTCGCTGATTGTCGCGGCTGGTATTCCGTGCAGTCGAACGACGGCTGCGATGAATAGGCGAGCGGCTTCTTCGGCCAAGATCAATTTCCTGCACGTAGCAAAGTGAGAAATTTTCGTCAGTCTGTCAACGACGACCATAATCGCGTCGATAAGCCCCGGGCTCGAAGGTAACACCGTGACGAAGTCCATGGTAACCTGCTGCCAGGGCGGTGGAATCGGCTACAATTGACCCGCCTTTCTTTTTTGCGAGCTCTTCATCACCTGACACGTAGGACATGACCTTACGTGTGCTGTACGTTGGTCAACAGCTCCGACCAGTCTTAATACCGCTGCAGTTGCTGTCGCATTTTTTCTACCCCGAAGTGAACCGATGTGACTCCATCGTATACCTCCTGTAGTAGCAGTTCCCTCAGTAGTGAATACGCTTGTACCCATATGCGGTTGGTGCCTGGTCCCTTTGCTTTTGAGCAATTTCCAGTCCTGAAAAATTGGTCGGTGTCGTATCCGTGGGTGAATAGGCCTGTTAACAGCTGGTTTGTTTGGGCGAGTAGGATGGCGTGAAGTTGGGCAGTGGGGCGAGTGAGTGCGACTAATGTTCGATGCTCCCTTTTTGTACTTGACGGTGTAGTGGAATTTGGAGTCCAGGTAGTCCAACCATCGAATCTATCGCGGATTGAGGTTCGGTTGGGCGCAGAGGTACTATAGTGATTGGTGGTCGGTCCTACTATCACGTTGGCTCCGGTGAGGTAGCATTGCCACAATTTGAACGAGTGGACGACTGCTAGCATCTCGCGATCGTGTATCTAGTAGTTGCGTTCGGCTAGGTGAAGTTTGCGGTGTCAGAACTATCCATTTATATGTTCTAGGCTGTAGTAGGGCACTCCTTATGGGGTACATCCCAATTAGGTTTTGCCTATACAAACCCTGTACTGCTGTCTTTCTAGTCATTCTTGATTCCTATGTCAGAACATTATAGCTTATACATCTGTGTAGGCTGTAGTGGGGTAGCCCATAAGGGGTACAACCCAATTAGGGTTAGTACTTGTACCCAACTGTTTCATAGTTCAATCATCCTCTCGTTCTAAACTTCACCTGGTATAGAGCTGGTTCCCTCATGGGAACTGTTCCTAGGGCCCACCGATCTTTTTTTTCTGCCCGTAGCGTGCTTGGCCCCTGCCCGAGTCATGCCCCGTGTCGTTCCCCCTCTTACGGCCCCTAACGGCCCCTCTTACGGCCCCAAACGGCCCCGTCGCGCTGCCCTTGCGGCCCCGTCGCGTCGCCCCTGTGGCCCCGTCGCGCCGCCCTTTCAGCGGCCCTGTCGCCGCCCTTCCGCGGCCCCGTCACCGCCCTTTCAGCGGCCCCGTCGCCGCCCTTCAACGGCCCCGTCGCTGCCTTTCAGCGGCTCCGTCGCCGCCCTTTCGCGGCCCTGTCGCCGCCCTTTCAGCGGCCCTGTCGCCCCCCCTACCTGCGGCCCCGTCGCCGCCCTTCAGCGGCCCCGTCGCCACCCTTTCAGCATCCCCGTCGGCGCCCACCCCTTCCGCGGCCCTGTCGCCGCCCTTTCAGCGGCCCTGTTGCCGCCCTTCCGCGGCCCCGTCGCCGCCCTTTCAGCGGCCTCGTCGCCGCCCTTCAGCAGCCCCGTCGCCGCCTTTCAGCGGCCCCGTCGCCGCCCTTCCGCAGCCCTGTCGCCGCCCTTTCAGCGGCCCCGTCGCCGCCCCTACATGCGGCCCCGTCGCCGCCCTCCAGCGGCCCCGTCGCCGCCCCTACATGCGGCCCCGTCACCACCCTCCAGCGGCCCCGTCGCCGCCCTTCCGCGGCCCCGTCGCCGCCCTTTCAGCGGCCCCGTCGCCGCCCTTCAGCGGCCCCGCCGAGTCGCCTTTGCTGCCGAGCTGCCGAGCCGCTGCGCCGCCGAGCCACCGAGCCGCTGAGCCGCCGAGCCGCCTGTGCTGCCGAGCCGCCGAGCCGCCTTTGCCGCCTAGCCGCGTTTTGCCGCCGAGCCGCAACGCAGCCGAGGCGCCGCGGCCTATCGGCCTGCCCGGGTCCGCCTCACTTACCTGGTAAGAGCAGCGCCTCTGCCACTGCACTGCCCTGCCCCACTGTACTCACTGCCTGTCTACTGCTGTCATGGCCACCCCTAGTGTTCTCACCTTTGACGCTGAGGGTCGGGCAGTTGACTTTGAGGTTTGGGTAGATGATCTGCAGCTTCTCCTACAGTGCGATAGGGTAGACGGTCTCTCCCTGTTTGACCTCACTTTTGGTGCCTCTCCTGCCCCTGCTGCTGATGCTGACGCCACTGTTCGCTCACAGTGGGCCACGCGCGATGCTGCTGCTCGCCTTGCTGTGCGCCGCCACTTACCGACCACTGAGCGTGCACACTTTAGCCAGTACAAGAGTGCTCTGACCTTGTACGACGCTGCATTTGCACGCTACTCTTCCCCTGCCACTGCTGGTCTGAGCTGCCTCATGCTACCGTACCTCTTCCCCGACCTTGCTGCCTTTCCCACAGTCGCTGACCTCATTACGCACCTCCGCACTAGTGACACTCGCTACCGCGCTGCGCTTCCTGCTGAGTTCTGCGCCAAGAACCCCCCCCCCCCCATGTACATCACCCTCTACTACATAGTCACCCGGCTCCCTGACTCTCTCCGCGTAGTCAGGGACCACTTCCTCTCAGTTTGCCCCACCACTCTCACCGTTGACCTCCTTGAGAAGGCCCTCCTAGCAGCAGAGAAGAGTATAGTCGCTGTAGGAGCCTCTCGTGGTGACCATCGCACCCCCGTCTTTGAGGGGTGTTCTCCCTCTCCCCTCTTGCCCTCTGTTGCCTATGCTGCTGCGGCCGACCTCGTTGGTTTCGAGTCGGTCGGCGCTGCATCTGCCCCGAGCGGGAGACGCCGCACCGGCAAGGGCAAGGGGGGCAAGGGCGCTGGAGGGGCTGGCGGGGGCGGTGGAGGTGGTGGTGGAGGCAGTGGAGGGAGTGGGGGTGGTGGTGGGAGTGGTGCCGGGGGTGGCGGCGGCGGCGGCAGCAGTGGAGGCGGCGGAGGCGGCGGTGGTGGCGCAGGGAGCGGAGGCGGCGGAGGTGGCGGAGGAGGCGGAGGTGGAGGAGGCGGCGGAGGCGGTGGCGGCGGCGGCGGCGGTGGAGCGGGTCGCCACTCTGCGCAGAGGAGTGGCTCAGGTGATGGTCCGCGCCAGCAGCAGCGGAGTGGTGTGACCCTGTCCCCCCAGCAGCTTCGTGAGTGGTACACTGCGCGTCAGCGCGGTTGGGGTTTTGGTCCCTGCACTTACGTCCTCCGTACCGGTGACCGAGCTGGTGAGCAGTGCGGGGGCCCGCACTCCACCCAGCGCTGCTTCGGTCGCCTGACCGACGCATGGCGTCGCCAGTTCCCTGAGGCGTCAGAGATCCCTCGCTAGGGAGATCTGTCTAGGGCGGGGGTTGCCGTCTTTGATCTTGACTATGATGCTATTCTTGCTGCCATGTATTCTGTGACTACTAGTGTTGAGGGTGACTGTGACCTGTGTGTACCGCCTGACCCGGGCATTGAGGCCACTGCTCTAGGTGCTGGTGAGGCTGCTGCTCTAGGTGCTAGTGTGTCTGCTGCCCCAGGTGCCAGTGCGTCTGCTGCCCCAGGTGCCAGTGCGTCTACTGCCCCAGGTGCTGGTGAGTCTGCTCTCCCAGGTACTACGTCGGCTCAGGCCTTCCACACCTTCACCCTTGACTCGGCTGCGTCCCGCTCCTTCTTTCGAGACCGCACCACTCTTACGCCGCTCAGTCGGCCGGTTGCAGTCTCCCTGGCAGACCCCTCTGGGGGTCCTATCCTTGCTAGCTTCTCCACTGTCTTACCGTGCCCGGCAGCCCCCTCTGGCACCTCGTCAGGTCTCTACCTCCCCTCGTTCTCTACGAACTTGGTGAGTGGAGCGGACCTACAGGATAGGGGGGTTGACCAGTTCACTCTTGCAAGTCAGCTAGTGACCCACCGCACGTGTACTCGGACAGGCCGACACTTGGCCACGTTCACCCGTCGGCCAGGGTCGAGCCTGTACACCCTTACTACTGAGTCTCCTCCGGTTGCTGAGTCTGCCCAGGTAGCTGCGTCGAGTCAGGTCAAATAGCTGGCCGGAGCGGCAAAGATGGTCGGAGATGACGAGGAAAGGGACTACGAGGAGTGTGGCTTTGTGTTCTTCTCTCCGGTGGAGATGCCGGGAGAACCAGCAACTTTGAAGGAGGCCTTGGAGAGGATTGATGCTGAGGAGTGGAAGAAGGCAATGGAGAGCGAGCTGAAGAGCATTAAGGAGAACGACACGTCGGAATTTGTGGAGCTACCGGAGGGGCGTAAGGTGATTACGTCCAAGTGGCTCTTCAAGATCAAGTCGGACGCCGACGGCAAGATCAAGCGCTACAATCATAGGCTTGTGGCCAAGGGGTACCAGCAGAAGGAGAAGGTGGACTTCAAGGAGTTGTTTGCTCCTGTGGTGAAGCCGACCACGCTGCGGACCCTACTCACTGGGGTTGCCATCAAAGGATGGGTGGTGAAGCAGATGGACGTGACAACCGCGTTCCTCAACGGCTTTCTCGAAGAAGAGATATGTTTTGCGCAGCCAGAGGGGTTTGATGATGGTAGTGGCAGAGTTTTGAAGCTGAAGAAGGCCCGCTATGGGCTGAAGCAGGCCCCTAGGCAATGGTACTTGAAGCCGCGAGAAGTTTTGGAGGAAATGGGCTTCACTCCCTCAACGGCCGATCACTCCTTGTTCAAGCTTCATGGTGGTGTACATGGATGATATCCTCATATTCTCACCCTTCTCTGACCTTGCAAAGGAGGTGATGCTGAAGCTTCAGGACAAGTTCAAGTGCAAGGCCCTTGGTGATGTGATCTTTTACCTCGGGCTCCACATTGAGCGTGACGTGGAGAAGCGGTGCATGCAGGTGCACCAACGGAAGTACCTCGAGGCGTTGGCTGCCAACTTTGGGCAGAGTGAAGGTCATGTGGCTACACCTTTTCCCTCTGGGTTCAAGTGTGTGAAGTGCTATGTGATGCCATCATTTGCATTCACATCTGTCTGCCTCCCATCATATGTTCGTGCGTTGCATGCGTGGTGTGAGCGTGTGCAATAATTTGTGTTTGGTGTTGTTTGGATTTTCAGAGTGTGTGTGAATGTTTTTTGGCTTGAGCAGATATCTGGAGTGACTCCTCTGCTCAAGATCTTTCCGTCGAGCCAAGTATCGCTTCAATCCGAGCACGAACAAGAAAGTTACGAACATTTGAAGTTCGTATGCTTTTGATATTTGGTTGTGGTGACTATGGGAAGTTGTGGGGTTGACTCCATAAGGGGTAAAGACTTTTGGGGGTTGGGAATTTCGTCCCCATCACTGTAGATGATGCCAAGTGGTTGGGTGAAGCCAAACCAGGTTGGCAAGTGTGGCCAACTTGGGTGAGGTGGATTGTGGAGGTTGGGAAAGTGACAAAGTGAAAGTGGGGTTGCGTATGGAGAGGGTTTCTTTGGTTGGGGACTCTCTTGGGACCTTCCCTCTTGTCCTTCTCATCCCCTCCCACCTGGTTTATTACTACTCTAACTCTCTTGTGTAGTAATTGTGTACTTCTGAGACTATTCATATTCAGTTAAGTTTTCTATGATAGCTTGCTCCCTAGTGCGCCGAGATTCATAATGCAAGAAATACTTTACCTTCACGTACGATTCAAATTGGAAAGTGTAGCCACGGACCAGGGCTACAACATATCTGAGTTTGGTGAAGTTTTGACAGGGAACTTTTCGTCGACGGTGTTTCTTGTGAAGTCGACATTTCTGTCCAGAATTCGAAGCCAACGATTTTGAGAAATTTAGACACTTAATATTTATAGACTCCGTCCTTAGTCATTAACATGAAGGGACCAGAGGAGGAGAGCGTTGGTGAAGAGGAGAGGCGCCGTTTTCACTCGTTGGTGGGCAGCCTCATGTATGCCGCGGTAAACACTCGGCTGGATGTCAACTTTGCTACCGGGCAGCTGGCTATGGTTGTGCAATGCCCAAATGAGGAGCAGGTAGCAGCTGGAATGAGGGTGGCCAAGTATCTTGACCAAACACCGACCGTTGGGCTGCAATACTCGGCAGCGCAAAGGCGCCAAAAGGGCACGGATGTTGTAGAACCCGGGCGTTTGTTCCTCACCACCTACTCGGATGCTTCATATGCATCGGAACGAGAGAACATGACAAGTGTTGGAGGGTTCATTTGCTATGTTGGTTGAGGCCCAATTACTTGGGAGAGCAAGAAGCAGGTTGATCATGTTGGGTGCAAATTCACATTGCACGACATCCTGCCGTCTGTTTGTACGAGTATGCGTGTACAAATGCATTTGGGTATGAATGGAATGTTCGTGTGTTTGTTTGCTTTCGCAATTTTCGCTTGAAGCATTTGCAGGTACTCACGCATTGTGCGCTTCGGCACAGCATTGTACGCGCCATGAACAGTACAAGCAAAAAGGACGAGCTCGCAAAGGAACCCAAGATGGAAGCTTTGCGGTTCGCCTTACATGATTGCGCAGATTCAGTTGTATCCAACTCGAAATTGTACTGTTTTGTTTGGTTGACTATAGTGTAGCAGGGCAGGCACTATAGGGGTACAATTTAGGTGAAGGTTGGATGTTGTTTGTCTGTATCTGCATGTTACAGGGCCAGGGGAAACCAGCGGAACCAGCATTTGGCTGGTTGGGCAAAGACAAAACAGGTTCTGTTTTTAGGACCTGAACCTAGTTGTTGTTTTCCCAGGTTGGAAAAACAGAACCAGAGGTTGTTTACCAACAAACCTCCTGTTGTTATGTCCAGCCAGGTTGGTTCTGTTGCTTGGAATTATTTGGGATCATCCTTGGTTGTTCCCAGGTTTATTCCCAAGGTCCTTGCTAGCTAGAACTATTTATTCCTACTCTGTTTGTACCTGGATATAGTCAATTTGATTCAAGCGAATTCCTCCCTTCCCGGGATTTCGTTTCTACGCGGTGCGACGGCGAAATGCTACCCGAGTCAACGCTAGTACGCTAGCACTCCAATGCTAGGCAAACGCTGTCCGAGCCATAACTTCGTAATGGCAGAACTTTTCGCGAGGCAACTTGCTTCATTTTAAAGCTCTCGGAGCGAGCTTCAATATAGGAAATTCTCAGCTTAATCCGATCGACGGTCTGCACGATACGCTGCGCGACGTTCAAGGTACTCTTGCTGTTTTGACTAAGTCCCTCTTGATCCCTCTTTCTACAAACTCGGACCCGAGGATAGGGGCTGGTCTTGTACCAGGCACCCAAGGACCCTTGGAGGTGACCCCGAGGAGAGGTTTTAAGTTTGATAAAGTCTTTATAGCTTGAGTTTATTAGTCCCTTACACCAACAGATGAAGCATTTAGCTCGGTGGATTCTGAGTACATGGCACTCTTCCGTGCCGTACGGGAGATTGTGTGGCAGCGGCATTTGTTGGCTGAATTGGGGGAGGAGCAGCAAGGACCTACCCCACTCTACTGTGACAGCCAGGCTGCTATTGCACTAGCTAAGAACCCCGTGTTGCATGGCCTCACAGAGCACATGAGGGTGAAGTGCCATTGGATGAGGAGCATGGTGGCCGCGGGTGAAGATGAGCTGCACTACGTGAAGACCACGCGGCAGCCGGCTGACATGATGACTAAGAAACTGGTGGAGCAGCAGCATTGGAAGTATTGCAAGCTGACTGGGAGGGCTCTGAACTGAGAGAGAGCAACAGATCCTAAGGCCAACAATCCGAGGGGGAGTTTGTTAGTGCAACCCTACGGTTTGCACTCGGCTTGTTGATCGTATGCGTGGATGCGTGTGTGCATAGAATGGTATGAGGGCATGGGATAATATATATTTCATGCTTATCATAGTGTGCAAATGTTGAGTCATGATGTCGAATGTGTGTGTGTGTCGAGTCAATAGTGAGTCATCGCTAGTCACGTGTCACGCGGTCTCTATTCTGTCGTGTGTGGAACGTTCGGCGTGTCGCAGGTGTGTGTAGCGGTCCCATGAAGAACTCAAAGATGCGTTTATGATGAAGAATCAGAGCCTCGGTGTCAAGATTCAAGTGCTCGCAAAGCCCGCGAAAATGGGTACACCTCAAGATATTGAGAATAGTTACATTACTTTGTGTAGTGTAACATTTCACTTAGTATAGGCCCTTGTGAAGGGTAGTTTCGAGACCCTTCGTGGTTGGGGACAGTGTGGCACTATTCCACATCACTGTACCTTGGCTCTTGGGGTTTGTAGGCGCTGGGATTTATTCCCAACTTGTAACTCTTCCTAATTTGTGTTATAAAAACTTAGGCAACTGCTATATTGCCGTTTGTTCAAAACAACGCTGTGTCGTCAATACTTGGTGAGATCGTGCGATCTAAATCGTCTATTGTAGGGGACATTAAGATGCTTCAGATCCAAGTTAATTGGGGCATTTGGCGCTGTGACCAGGGCGCTATGAACGTTTAAAGCCGCTGTGCAGAAATCCGACTTTGCACTCCTTTCATTTTAGGCACATTTGAGCCTACTGAGTGACTATAATAGGCCGGGCGAGCAGTGCATGGTTTGGTGAACAGTGTGCGCAAATGTTGGCAAAGCCCGGTTAGCAGTAACGGGTGAACAACGACTAGACTTGTATGCGGTGTTGAAGCACGCGGTAAGGAATGCCAAAAAAATCCTTTTGTGTAGGCTGTAATGGGGTAGCCCATAAGGGGTACAACCCAATTAGGGTTAGTACTTGTACCCAACTGTTTCATAGTTCAATCATTCTCGTTCAATTTCACATGGTATAGAGCAGGTTCCCCTGTGGGAACTGTTCCTAGGGCCCATCGTTTTTTTTTTCTTTTCCTGCCCGGAGCGCGCTTTGCCTCTGCCCGAGTCGCGCTCCCCTCTCACGACCCCGTCGGGCCGCCCTTAGCGGCCCCGTCACGTCGCGCCTCCCTAGCGGCCCCGTCGAGTTGCCCTTGCGACCCCGTCGCGCCGCCCTCGCGGCCCCATCACGTCGCGCCGCCCTCTCGGCCCCGGCGCCGCCCTTCCCGGCCCCGGCGCCGCCTCTGCTGGCCCCATCGCCTACCTTGCAGCCGCGGCGCTACCCTTCCCGGCCCCGGC